GTGTGTGTGTGTGTGTGTGTGTGTGTGTGTGTGTGTGTGTGTGTGTATATAGGGTGGGCTAAAAATCACTTACTATTAAAATAAATCCATAATTTAAATTCAACTAATGAAATTAGCTTTTTCTTATATTTCAATGTTTTATTAAAGATAGACAGGAAAAAATTTTTGGCCCACCCTGTATAAAGAATATTTGCACGTTTAGCCCGTGTCTTTGCAGGCATACGCGTGCCATCGCGTCGACTGACAATGAAATGCGTCATTATACGCGAACTATCTTTCGTTCTCTCATTATCTATCGTATTCGAGAAAGAATGGAAGAAATACTTTCATATGTTATAAAGTTTTAGAAACTCGAACCTTTTCTTCGTGTATCGTTCGAAAAAAAAAAAGAACAGATTCGAGAGGAAGAAAGACACGATAATTTATATTCTTCTGGTTTTATAGTTTTTAATAATTATTATAATTTAGTATTTACAATTTTTAGAAATGTTCGCAAGTATAATCGACGATCTGATGAAAAATGAATCATTCAGATCTAGTCAGTCGTTGCATGAAAGATTAAGTAATATAGTAATACATATTCATATTCATTTTAATTGAAAATAAAGTTTTTATCTCAAGTGATCGTGTGTATGTGCAATAATTTGCTTGTTACTTAATTCTTGCTTTTATTTTTCTCTGTTGCTTGCTTCTTAATGTATATTTTGCATTTCTATTTGAATACATGTGGACAACTCTTCGTTGTGTAAAATAGAAAATAGAAAATTAAATTGAATTCTCCAAGACTCGGTAATCCAATATTGTAGTTTGATATCAATTTGAAATATCGAGCTTCTCGAAATCAAATTAGTCAACTCTTTTATAAATTTTCAAATTTTATTGCTACAATCTGAACACGATTAGAAAAATGGAATCAAGGTATTTTATTCTACTATACCCATACAATTATTGAATATTGAATTTTCAAGAAAGAAATGCCATAAGTTTATCTATCATAAGATAACGACACGAAATACATAATTTCTCTCTATTTTTAATTTACACGTGTGATGAAAACAGCTTCTGAACAGTTAAACTGATTTTAAACAAACAAAAATGCATCGATAATACTACATCTTTATTTGGTTTTCGAATTTCATATTTTGGCCAATCTCTGAAAATTGCATTTACATCATTTTTCAATTTATACAGACGATCAAAATGGTTTTCAAACCGCTAAATTAACCTTGCATTACCAATATCAAATTTTTATTTAACCATTGGATTAAATGTTTGTTTTCGTCGTTCTCTTGAATATGCCAAAAAAAAAAAAAAAAAAAAAAAAAACATTGATAATCCGAGTATTTATCACGTTAATACTTTGCCGGTGCATCACCTATTTATGTCTCTGAAAGTTAACAAATTACTATTATTAATGCTAGAAACTACCGGCGACTAAAGCATAAAGATTGTATCGAAAAAATTGGAGTGAAAAATGAATAGTGAAGTTTGTAATACAAACTTTTATTCGTGTATATTTTATGAGAATTATCCAAATCACTAATAAACGTTGTAAACCTGCCGAGTTGCGCTTTGAAATATTATGTCAATTGGTCGTTTTGACCACTTTGGTAGTTCTGTGCCTTTTAACCATCTAGTAGCAAAAAGTAGATCATGTTTCTGTAATGAAAATGAAATTTTCATATGATAAATTTAAGAAAAATTGCCACTTCTCTTTCTGTTTCTTCCGCTTTTTACCTGTAATGTAAAGGCAAAGGAAAATTTTATATAATAATTTTTAGATTATACTTTTCTTGTCTTTGGGATGTACATCTTTACATCAAAAGTATCGAAATTTGTCGACATTTTAAGAGATTCTTCATTTTAAATATTGTATATTCATATATCGCGTCTTAATATATTAATAATATGATAATAATATCCAACGAAATATTAATAAATATCAAGATGTATTGTTGTATATAAATATTCACACGAATCTCTTTTAATTTAATCTCAAACGTATACAATTGATAGATACTGATAACAAGAATAACTAATAATTAGGTGACTGAGGACTCTGCAGAGCGAGTACTTTAAGTACATTCATCGTTGAAGTTTTAGAATTTTAGATTGAAATACACAAGTTTATACAAATTTCATGAGGCATTGGCTGTTTATTTAAAATGCATACGAAACTTGATGACTTGTTGAAGAATAGTTCATCGAACGTGACTATCAAAACGTAGCAAAAAATATCAAGCTTCTAATTGCATTTCGTTATTTACGCATGGGATAGTGTAGCAATAATATTTGAAACAAATAAGACAAATAAAAGTAAGTGAAATATCTCAAGAGAGAACCCAAACGAGCATCCATGGTATTGATTCGATATAATCGTCTAATCACTACGTAAAAGGTCTCCAATCGCTGTTTGTCGTAAGTGTTTGAAATCTGTGACTAAATTATGCCTGATAGTGATCTGATTGATACCTTTCACCACCATGACCAACCAAAGCTTTTTAAAGTGTCTGTTTCAACTAAAATTATTCAAATTTTTTTTTTTTTATTTTCGAAGTTGATGGACATGAGAAAATTGATTTTTTTTTTTTTTTTTGTCAAATGTGAATTAACCTTTACATTTCGTTTCATTATACCTCTCTTCCCGAATGGGAAACTCTCAAGTTTTTCCGCTTTACTATCGTTCGCGGTCACTCGTGTAATTTATCGGCTCGAAACGAAACGGAACGGAACGGAACAGTGGTCCGAGGGAAAAGGGACGAAAAAGTTTCCAATTTAAATTCGTCAGCGACGATCATAGTTAAACGCTCGTTCTGTTGCGAACGTCGTCGGGAAAAACGAGTGGCATTGTTATATTAATTTATGAAAAAAGTACGTTTAATTATTCGGGGTCGTTATAACTATCTGACCGCTCGGAGGCGAGTCTGCTCCAAAAAGCCCCGCGCCGTCGTCGTGCCCGCGATGCAATTAAAGTCAAATGTAAACTGATAGGGAACGCTGTTACACGAAACTTCGAGGTAATGATTACGCGAGCCGTTGTAATTTATTACCGCGTACGTTCGTTATTCTCAATTGTAACGTAATTCGGTAATACGGCCTAATTGCGGTCTTAATAAGACTGCGTCCGCGACTGTCCTCCAACGTGATTCGGATCTCCCTCCGCTTGCTCGTTCGTCCCTCTTCTTCGTTCGCTGTCTTTCTGACTCGTTTCTCGTTTTAGTGTCACTTTTCGCGACACCGGCCGCTTCGCTGGATAATTCTACGTGCAAAAATACGATACGAATGGAATTTCAAATACGATCTCGTCA